ACTATTTGGACATGATTTTTCTCAATATGTTCTTCTTTCCACCCCTCCCCCCCCAAGTTGGGTGAACATAATGGATCTCATTATATTTTTATAGAAAACTCAAGATAAAAATTTGAGGCAACATTATCAAAAGAAAAGAATCAGTAGATGTGTGTGGCAACTGTCAACAAGGCCCCTGACTTTCGACACCATATTTCCTAATTTTTCAGGAAAGAAATACGAGCTGAGCAGAGAGCAGATGAAGTGGTTTCACCCTTTCTTGATGGTCTCGACAGTTGTCCTCCACTTGGCTACACTTTAGAATCAACAGAGGAACTTTAAAAATATACTGATAACAGGCCTCACCCCCAGAGACTCATATTTAATTTGTTCAGAGTAAAGCTCAGTCCTTGGTAGCTCTTTGTTTTATTTTTTGTTTGCTCCCTAAATGTTGTTAGCGTGCAGCCAAGGTTGAAAACCATTTGTCTAGAAAAGGCTTTCCCTAAGAAGGTTAATGTCCACTTGAAGAGTCGCTAACAATAAGCCATAAGGCTGTCCTTCACACCCTGACCAGCAAATGAAGAAAAATCTCCAGAAAGGCAAACTGGAACGTCAATGTAAAACCAGTATCCTGAACAAAAAGCATGCATAACCTAAAAACTAAGTGAAATCTTTACAACTGCATAGAATTTAACCTACAGTTAGAGATTAAATCCTTTATAGAAGAGCACAATAGACAAAGTAAGCCTGAAGGGGACTCTTATGAAAAAGACCTAAGAAATTTTCATTGACAATTTCAATGAAATTGTCATGTACTCAGATTCTTAGTACATGTGATGTGTTTACCTCAGAAGCTACTTTGACTTAGACTCAACCCCTTTCCCAATGGAACCTATGGCCTTGGTGCTCATTAGCTCTGAGCTCCAGTTTATTCATATATACCAATATCTTTTAGCCACACTTCTCAAACTTCAATGTGCCTGTAAATCTATCTGAGGATCGTAATAACACACAGATTCACGTGCAGAAGGTCTGGGTGGGACCTGAGAGTCTGCGTTTCTAATAAGCTCCCAGTTGCTGCTGATGCTGCTGGTCCACAGATGAACACTTGGAATAGCAAGGTCTTAGAAGACGTCATGAGGATTAAATGAAATGACCTACATAAAGGGTTTGGCACCAACACGGTTGGCACCCTAGAGAAGAAAAGACTTACAAGGAATATAATAAAACGCGGTTAAAGCCTAAAAATTACATGACCCAATCCTCCTTTCTTGTCCAGATGTGGAAACAGGAGGTTAAGAAAAAAGCTAAAATCTCTACCTCCTTATAGCCAAAGGAAAAAAACAAATGTATTGAACTGAAAAAAAAAAGTGCAACCAAGATCCATGAGTAGAAGTTAAACAGAACTCCTCATTCCATACCAGGAAAAAATCTTCTAACAATAAATACTGTCCTACAATCAATTGGCCCTTTTGAGGAGACAGCGTGAAGTCTCCAGTTACAAAATGTGAGCACAGACCAGATGATGATATTAAAGAACATATTCATGTTTCCGGTGACTGCTGAACTGAGAGACGTCACACACTTAATATGTACAAAAAATATTTTTTTAATAACACAGAAACCTCATCTCCTTCCTCCCTCCACCCCTCTGAAGTAAATGGAGTTAACTTAGGTGAAAAAGCCTTGGAGTCTTCTTTAACTCCACTGCTCCCACCCGGCACATCCATCCCATCCACAAATCCTAGCGCTGCTACCTTCAAATGTGCCCACAACCCAGATACTTCTCACCACCTCCATTACAAGGTTGGCCAAGCCACTCTCCCCTTGTCTGCATCACTACAACAGCCTCCTGATAAGTTTCTCTGTCTCTGCCCTTGCTCTTCAACAGCATTTTCTCAGCAAAGAGCCCCAGTGCTGCCACTTCTCTGCTCAACCCCTTCCTTGTCATTCAGAGCGAAATCCAAAGTCCTTCTGCTGGTTGACGAGACCCTACACAATCTTTCCCCTCCAGTCCTCAACCACAACCACGTTTCTCGTCATTCTCAATCTTTCTCTCTCTCCAGCCACCCTTAAACTCACTCTTCTTTGAATCACATCAAGGACACCCTTATCTTAGGACCTTTGTACTTGCTCTTTCCTTTGTTGTGAAGGCTACACTCTGGGATTTGCAAGTTTATGTCCCACATTCCAAATATATGAGACAACATAAAGACACTTAACAGAAGGATTCTAACTGCTCTCTATAGGAAAAAAAAATGTTCATACTCAGCTTAAAGATCAGCACTTTACTTTCATAGCTGATACAGATGAAAGGTTGGGCGAGGCATTCTAGATCCAAATGTGACTCAGCTTCACTTTTTAACACTGCACTTTCATCAAGTCCTCTCTTAACACCAAGTCAGGGCAGACTAGGTGCTGTACTCCCACATCAGAGCACCCCAACTGCCTGGGCAGGGAATAACCCTCTGGATGGCCACTGATCTGTGACCCAGGCATACTCCACCTCTGAAAAAAATGAACGAATATCCCAGATGCAGTGTCCCTCTGCATAATTCCCCACAGGGAATGATGTCTGTTTTCTTCTTCTAAAACCAAAGTTCATCAGTTGAGCTTGAGAAAATCTAACTACCACTGAGTAGGCACGGATGGACAATGGACAGAGGAAGCTGGCACATGGCACTCAGTTGAGTACCTTTACAGAAAAGGAAGTCATCCATTTAAAGGGAGGATTTTCCCAGGGACCCAAGTCCCAGGGCCAGTGTGTATGCTTATTCTGGTTCGCACTAGATAATCCCAAGGGCACCACGTGCAGTGTTGTGCAATGCAGCTACTCCAGCCACTGAGCTCTTAGGGCTCGAAATGAAAGCCACTCTTGGTTCGGACAATCAAACAGCTTCAGAGGGATGGAGATAAATGCATCTAATATAAGAATTAATGTGGGCAAGGAGAGGAAGAAGGGAAGTGAGAGAGATTCTGGCCTGAGCTGAAGTGCCGTAGGAGAGAGGGTGCACTCTGGATGTGGGCTTTAGCCTCAGTCCCTCTCACCCCATGCTCACAGTACCCTACTCCTGCCTCATGAGCAGGCTACTTCCAGCCCAAACCAAAGATCCAGAGCGGCATGGGCTACTTAAAAACCACCATGCCCTAGTTAGGAAAGCCAAGTTATCAGATTTGTTTCTCGCAAGGAGTTGTTTTTTTTTTTTTCTCAGACTCTTCCTCAAGGGTGGCCCAGTGCAGGGGCCAAGCAAAGCCCAAGGACATGGAATCCAGCTTATGTATTAAAAGAAGCAGAGGCATAAAATCATCCAAAAGATATGGAGTGTTAAACATGGACTCAGCAAGAGGCCTCGCCCATCTTCTTTTATAAAGTCAAAGGCGACTACTTACGTGGGATAACAATGGGAATTTGTGGCACAGTCACAGGCAAGGAAGCGGGACATTTCAACATTAACACTTGCTCCGGGTGAAGCATGCTAAATAATTTTCTTGTTCCCACAGCTTAAGGAGAGAATTTTCCCCACTTAGGACATCATCTAGGGCTCCCGGTTCACGAAACAAGGAGCTCTCACTGGTATCTGTGGTCTGTGCAGCACATCACATCCAGCAGTGAGCCACGCAAAGGCTGGGCATTGAACCTCCAGGGAAATCATTTGGGATCAACAGTATTTCTTGACTTAATTCTGCACTTTGAAGTAACACCTTAGTGATCATCTGATAAACTTAATTAATGTAACCACAGGCAACAAGGAACAATAATCTTTCTTTTCCAATGGAAAAAATAGACTTTGAGTAGGGAAAATCTGATATAAACTTTTGGCAGATGATTTCTCTTCACCCCACCGACCCATTTTGAATATACTATCATGGAAATGCTATGTAAGTCAGGCTCACTGTGTATCTATTCATAAAGCAAATAATTCTCTAGTTTATCCTTTGTGCAAGTAGATTTTTATATAATGGATTGGCTTAAAATGAGGTAAATTTTTACTGGATAATTTGCACAGCAATAGTTCATTTCCAATATTTATACACAGGAATATCAGGGGGAAAGGCCATTTTCTCATTCCATCTTTAACGCATACTTTTTTTTGTATTTAGTTGAGAGAATATTCGAGAAAATGATTTCTCCAGGTAAGAAGAATCTCAAGTAAACATTTGGAGTATGTCTTCCAGTAAGCAGTAGTGGATGAAATGTGGGAGACCCAGGGCCCTCAGGGAAAGCAAATGGCTCCACTAAAACTCCTTCCTCCAACCTTAATTGGTCAAATGCCAAAACGAAGGAACTTTCCAAAGTTAGGAGCTGTGCAACTTTCACTAGGGATAACTGCAGGTGCCCCAGCCGTGACCAGCAAGCCCACCACCGACCCATTTGTGCCTGGCGGCGGTAGCTGATAGCGCCAGGCGCCCAGGCCCAGGCCGCCTCCACGCCAAACGACCCGCCGGGAACGGGTTCACGCCGGGCTGCCCAGGACCCGGAGCTCCCCGTAGCCGACCCCGCACCAGATCCCGCCCCGCCCTTCCACCCTAGACCGGAGAAGGGAAATGGGCGCTCCGGAGACAGGGTGGGAAGCACCCAGTGGGATGCAGCCGCAGCCGGGGCCGTCCCCAACTCCCAACTTCCCAGAGTTTCCTCCGGCCTCTTCCCCCTTCCCACCGCAGAGAAGCTGCCGCGGCCTCCCCTCGGCCGGAGCGCAGAGCCCAGGAAGTGGAGCGCGGAGCCGAGAGCTCGGGAGCCGCCCCCCGGAGCGAGGGCGACCCGAGCGCAGGTGGCGGGCGTGGTCCCTCCAACCTTGCCCCAGTCCCCCCGGACTCGGCCTCCGCGCAGCAGCCTCTGCCCGGGTACCCTTAGGATCCAGCATCAGGCCACCGCGAGCCGCTTCCTGATCCCCTCCTCTAGGTCGGCGGCCACCCCCCACCTTCCCCCAGTCCGCGTCGTTCATCTGCCTCAGGCCCCGGTGCGGCCCCAACTCCCAGCACAGGGCCCTCCGGTCGCGCCCAGCAGCGGCGGCGGCACTCACCTGGGTCGCGAAGCCGGGGTCTGGTGCGGTCCCGCAGGTGGTAGATGAAATCCTGGCAGCTGTCGTGCTCCAGGGCCCCACGGGCACAGAGCTCGGCCAGCAGCTGCAGCGCCTGGTGACAGAGCGCGTCCCTGGCCCCGGGCATCGCCCCCCCGCATCCTCGGACCGAGCCGGGCAGGCGGGCGCGGGAGACAACCCTCCGCCTGCCAGCTCAGAGCCGCCGCCTCCGGGCCGTCCGCGGTCGCCGTCAGGGAGCCGCCGAGAAACGGCCCGAGCCCCAGCCCCTGCTGGCCCGGCCTCCCACCGGTTGCATGCAGCTCTTCGGATGCCGGTCGGTCGGGCTTTCTCTCTCTCCCGCCCGTCCGCTCCGTCCCTCCTCCCCCGGCACCGAGGGGAGGTGGCGCTGCACAGCCCCGCGCGCCACTCTCCCGGCGCCCCGCCCGCCACTCGCAGCCGCCGGGGGGCGGGGCCGGGTCAGGGGCGCGCGCCGCGGGCGGGGATCCCGGTGGGCCCCGCTCGGGCGCCGGCGGCGGACGGAGGGCGCTCACCAGCTCCTAGAGGAGCGCAGGACTCGGCTCCGGACCCGGCGCTCAGAGCGGCAGCGCCCAGGCTTGGGGAGTGTGAGCGGGGGCGCGCTCTGGGCATTCTCGCCATCCCACCCCTCCGTCCTCTTGCGAACCAACACCCTCTCCCACAGCCCCTTGCCGTGTGCGTCGAAAGCACGTTCTTGGGTGTGCTGCGCGAAAGGTGCAATCTGAACCACACCCGCCCAACCTGGAGAACCGAGTCCCGGCTTCGAACTTGAAAAGCGCCGTCTGGGCATAAATCACGGGCCTAAGGGAGCCAAATCCCCAAAGGCGTGTTCGCGGCCAAGATTTGCCAACAAAGGAAGGATTTCCCAAGTGCAGGATCTTTCCCACCACGGTCGTGATTGGAGACGGTGGAGGCTCACGCATCATAACTAAGGTCAAATAAATGGCTTCTGAGACAGGTGCTGGGACCCAGACTGGCTGGTTTCCTAAGCAACTGATTAGAAATCCAAGAATTGCCAGGGTGTCTCCTGCACCCACCAAGTTAGACTATCACAGAGTCTGAGGTTTGGGGAAGGGATCATTGGCCGCCTCTCATGCACCCACCGCTTCACACTCTCAGGTAATAAACCCAGAAGTAACTACGAAGACTTAACTCTCGTGGGGAGAGGAGTAGGGGAGGGGTGCCAGGCACTATACCACAAGCCTTTTAGATATAGAATCTCATTTCATTCCCTTGATAGCCCCCCAAGGTCTATATAACTGTTATCATTTTACCAATGAAAAATCTGAAACTCATAAAGCCTCAGTTCACCTGCCCAAGTTCATACTTGAGGAGGCAGGGTAACTTTGAATAATAATAATAAATAAGAATAAAGCTAATAATACTAACATTATTAGCTTTAAGTAAAACTGGTATCCAGGCCTTACTCTAATAAAACAATTACAGTAGAATCTCTACAACTGGCACTCTTAGCCATGGGTTGTGCTATTGCTAGGGACGCCTCATAGCAAATCATACTGTGCAGTATGGTATATCAGGACGCTACAGAGTGTTCCCCCAACAGACAGCTTTGAAATCCTTCTGTGAATGGTGCTAGGGCATCAGAATCTTGTATTAGAACAGGAGAGAGAATGCAAAGTTAATAAGATAACTAAGCAATGAAGAGACAGGTAGACTCTCTGTCCCAGGAAAACTTAAGAGGGAGAAGAAGCCAGCTGAGAAGGAACCTGTAGAAGACATAGAGGAGAAGCTGGTCCTTGAAAGCAGGGAAAAGACCATGTGACAGTGGAGAGGGAACCAGAGAGAGTAGGATGCTAGTGCTAGTATAGTAATGGTGGGAAGGAGGGTGTGTGTTAAAGCATGTAGAAATATACCACTGATGTGAGTACCTCAGAGAGGAACTGAAAGTGAAAAGTCCAGTTAAGAACATACTTTGATAAGCCCGACCAGATATGATGAGGGCCTAGATCAGACCATAAGCACTAGCTGATTGCCAAGAACATCTAAATTTGAAAAACGTTTCAAGTATTAATTGACAAGACTGCAACTAATGGAATGGGATAGAATGAAAGACACGGACGTTACACAGACTGACCTGGGTCATATATGGTAAGTAGAAGAAGGTACTTAGAATTGGAAGCCTAGAGTTTATAGAATAGAGTGGAGACTGGAAATCATCCATCGAAAGATAGAAGTTAAGTTGCCATATTGGATGGGTTCCTCCAGGCAAGGAGAGCTGGAAAAATGGGAGAGAATTTGCCATTTAAAATGTGCTTCACAGGGTGCCTGGGTGGCTCAGTGGGTTGAGTGTCCGACTTCAGCTCAGGTCATGATCTCACGGTTTGAGGGTTCGAGCCCCGCATCAGGCTCTGTGCTGACAGCTCAGAGCCTGGAGCCTGTCATCAGATTCTGTATCTCCCTCTTTCTCTGACCCTCCCCTGCTCATGCTGTCTCTCTCTCTCTCAAAAATAAATAAAAAAACATTTAAAAAAAGATTTAAAAAAATAAAATATAAAATGTGCTTCAGAAAAGAGGAGATTGAAAAGATTGGACAGAGGGGAGCCATGAGGGCCAAAAGAAGAACATTTGATGGAAGAGTGATCTACAGCATCAATTGTCAACAGAGCCTAGAAGGACAAAAACTAAGAAGTGACCTTTAGATGTAGCAGGCAGTAAGACATTCGTGATTTAGAGAAAATGGTTACTGTGGAACCAACCCTGTGGAAGTTACTTAAAATTTTTGTGCCTAGGGTTTCTCTTCAGATAATACTAATATGTGTACCAATAACTCTTATAAATATTATATAAAGTATTTGGAATATGCTGCCATATAATATGAGCTCAATCGACATATGTTTTTGTTGTTGCTGTTGTGTGTCTACAATGTACTAGATGACGCTAAACACACCTTCTTATTTTATTAGTGACAACACTCCTAAGTAGTAGATGTTATTATTTCCTATTTTATAGGTAAAGAATGTGAAATCAGGTGGCTAAGTAATTTCCCAAGGACAAATTGGTAGATTGTTTCCAGAGACAGCCACAAATTCCTATCATTCCACATGTCCTTTTTCAACATGACATTACCACTCCTTGAACCAAGTAGTTGAGTCTGTTGCCCTTTCACCTTGAATTGGGCTGGCCCTGTGACTTACTTTAACCAAAAGAATATGTGAAAGTGATATTCTGGTGTCAGAATAGTGGCAGACAAGGATGTGCAGAAAAGGTGGGGGGGTGGCACCTGGGTGGCTCAGCTGGTTAAGCGTCTGACTTCGGCTCAGGTCATGATCTCACAGATCGTGGGTTCGAGCCCCACACTGGGCTCTGTGCTGACTGCAAGCTCAGAGCCCGGAGCCTGCTTCAGATTCTGTATCTCCCTCTCTCTCTCTGACCCTCCTCTGATCACGCGGTTTCTCTCTCTCTCTCAGCAATAAATAAAGCATTAAAAAAAAAACTGATCCATTCATCTGTTGATGGACACTTAGGCTCTTTCCATGTTTTAGCTATTGTGGAGAGTGCTGCTATGAACATTGGGGTACATGTGCTCCTATGCTGAGCGAAATAAGTCAGGCAGAGAAGGACAAATATCATATGTTTGCACGTATAGGAGGATTAGGAGGAACTTGACGGAGGAACAAGGGGGAGAAGAAGGGCGGAAATGGTGGGGGAAAGGGAGAGAGGCAAACCATGAGAGACTCTTGAATGCTGACAAAAACTGAGGACTGATGGATGTGGGGGGATGGGCATGGAGGAGGGCACTTTGGGGATGAGCGCTGAGTGTTATGTGGAAACTAATTTGACAATAAACTATTTGTAAAAAAAAAAAAAACTGGATGTGCAGAAAAGGGAACCTTTGTGCACGGCTGGTGGGAGTGTAAATTGGTGCACCCACTATGGGAAACAAGATGGAGGTTCCTTAAAAAAATTAAAATTGAATAACCATATGATTCAGCAATTCCTCTTCTGGATATATATCTGAAGGAAATTAAATTGCTATCTTGAAAAGACATCTGCACCTCCATGTTCATTGCAGCATTAATCACAATAACCAAGAGATGGAAACAACCTAAGTGTCAATCAATGGACAAATGGATCAAGAAAATGTGGGAAATGTGACACACACACACACACACACACACACACACACACACAGAGGTATATTATTCAGCTTTAAAAAAGAAAGAAATTCTGCTATTTCTAACAATATGGATAAACCTGGAAGGATTTTATGCTAAGTGAAATAAGCCAAACTGGAAATACTATATGGCATCATTTCCATGTGGAATCTAAAAATCAAAACCAACCAACCAATCAAACAAACAAACAAAAATCTGATCTCATAGAAACAGTAAGATGATGGGTGCCAGGGGTTGGGGGTTGGTGAGATGGGGAGATATACGTCAAAGGATACAAACCCTCAGTTATAAGGCTCTAATGTACAGGATGGCGATTATAGTTAATAATACAGTATTGTGTACTTGAAATTTGCTGAGAGTAGATCTTAAATGTTCTCACCACACAAAACTTTAAAAAGTTTTTAAAATAATTAAAAATTTAAAAGGTGATGAATGTATTAATTCACTTTATCTTGGAAATCATTTCACAATGTATATGTACGCCAAATCATCATGTTGTACATTTTAAATGTAGGCAATATCATTTATCAATTATTCCTCAATAAAGTTGGGGGGAAAATAATTTTAAAAAATGAAATCCTGTAAATCTTTCATGCTGCTCTTAGACCATAGCCCGCTTCCAAAACCCAGATTCTTGTTCTTGGGAAATGGTTTGGCATTCCTAATGGCAGAACTTCCTATTCACTGGCATTTTGTTTGATTCAGTTCCTTGCCAGATAGTTGCCTTTAACAAAAGAAACTAAGATTCCACTGGCATGACTTGTTTACAGTGAGCCCATGCTATTTCCCAGTGATCACCTCTCCTGTGAAATACTCCCAGACCTCCTGCTTAATTAACCCTGATAGGAAGCCATCCTCACACTTGCTTTAGAGCCTGCACTATAATTCACCTGGACCAGGAGACAGGAACTGAGCTCATGTTCTGTGACCACCACTCTTTCATCCTGGGCATCAATCTCCTTGTAAATCTGTGAGC